ACTTTTATAACCTCTGTGAAAAAATGTAATAATGAGCCGATTTCATCTGGAATAAGCTGTATATCTTCACTTAAAAAAAAAATTTCTACTGGCATATTCATATCCAGGTATTCCCTGTTCTTTCTGAATTTTCAATGGCACATAGCATTTTATTGCAAATTTTGTGGATTAGATCAATGAATTAAACTGAATTGAAATATTTGAGTTATCTTGCAGATATTAAATTCTGCATACGTTTTCTAGCAGGCAGCCCATGCAACTTTCCAAATTGGAGTGTCAGGCAGAGAAGACAAGTTCTTTTAGTTGATATGTGTGTCAGAGCACACAAGGAGGGTGTTCTCAAAAATCTATCCTTGAGGAAGAGAGGTGTGCTAGGGAGGGTGAAAAGAAAAGAATCAAATGTTTGGAAAAGATAAAATTTTCTCACAATCAGTCAGATTTAACATTCCTAACACAGAGCAATTAAATTTTGGTGAGAAAAAAGGCAGGCGGTTAACATTAATGGACATTCTTTTTCTTCAAAGCTTAAATGCCAACATTGTGGAAAGGGACAAGAAGCACTTTTTAAAAATTTCAGCATGTGTTTATGTGTAGCTGTTAGTTCTGTCATCATAGCTGCAATCCCCCAATCTTCCTTATTTTCATTAAGACCAAGGCAAAAAAATAAATAAAATCCCAAATAGTTCCAGTAATGCCAATGGACAATTGAGGTCCAGAGATCTTGGTGTGGGATTGATCCCCATGCTTGCTCCCTGTTTTTCTTATCACTGAAAATAAACTAGTGTTGAGAAAATTATATTTATTTTATTTATTTATTTATTATATTTCTATACCGCCTTTCTCCTGTAGGACTCAAGGCGGTGTACAGTCAAGAAAAATATAGACACACAAACATCATAAAATTGCTAATTAAAATTATTACTTAGTTTGGTCAATTAAATAAAACCCAGAATTAGATAACATTTAAAAAATCATTCACATGTTCGTATGTTTAGCCCCGCCTGTTGGAACATCAGGGTCTTGAGGGCACGGCGGAAAGCACGGAGATCAGGGATATTCCGTATCTCCGGGGGCAGTTCATTCCAAAGGGTTGGAGCCCCCACAGAGAAGGCCCTCCCCCGGGAGTCGCCAGTCGACATAATTTGACTAACAGTACCCTGAGTAGTCCCTTCCTGTGAGAACGAACTGGTCGGTGGGAGGCTATATGTGAGGTAAAAAGCATGATCTGGTGGTAAACTGTATTTAGTATGAAAACCATAGAATAAGAATCTATAGCATGTTTGTGTGTTTTTGAAAAAGGCCACTTTCCAATAGGCCCATATTTGCAGCTAGAGACAACTGTTTTAGGAATGGAAGGTTATATCATATCGGCAAAATTTCCCATTGTATATACAATTCTTTCTTTAGTCATACTCTCCATCTCTCTTGCAGCTTTTTATGCACTGAAAAACCTTGCATTAATCTATAAGCAAGCCTATAGAATAGATGTTGAAAATGCACAAAAGGCCCGGCTTTTATTAGGCAGCCATCTTAGGGGAAGAAATTAATTGTAGGAGTTGGAAGACAGAGCAGAACTGAGAAAGAACACACTCTTTAAGACAGCCTGATAACCTCAGGAGAATGCTCTCCTATCATCATTGCTGAAACCTGATTTCAAATCCTGTTCTGTTCTGTCCCTGGGACCCTGCTTTTTATTTCAGCCAGCCAGAGAAAGGTGGGGGTTCGTGATTCTATTTTCAGTCCTCTTGAGAATTAGAATCTTTTTTCAGCAATAGAATACTCTTCAGTAAATAAGCCAATCAGTGGTTCTGTTTCAATTGGGATTTCAATACAAAAGCTTCTGAGATGCCTTTCTGGCCATCCAGAAGATTTGTAGGAGCATAAAAAGGCAACAAATTCTTCATATTTACTGTGAGTCGGTCTCCTGCCATTCCAAAACTGCCTCCTTTCCCCGAAAAAGGAGGGAAAAGAGGGGGAAGGAATAGAAAGAAGCCTCTGATGCATAAAGATCTCTTGAAATATTACACCATATCTGCTCTGTGGTTTGCTTCTTCAGAAATCAATCTTTCCTTCAGACATATATATTAGAATTTATGTGCATTGCTTTTACTGGGAAATCTCCCCTGGCAGACTTTACAACATCTTCCATTATTTGGAACTATAGGCAAACATGAACTCACAGCTCTTTGCAGCTGTATACCCTACCTATTTTTCCTGCAGACAGACGACTCATGTAGAGACAGAGTGCACAATCAGACTATATTTTACTGGTCTGACTAATAAGCCTGAACTTGGTCACGCAAGCAGGATAGTGGTCAAAATTCAGCAAAATGGTACCTTCTGCCAGGCTTTACCCACTTAGCAGCCTTTTGACCCCAACTGCATCTCATCCAACACTTCACATCCTTGACTCCCCAGTCTTGGCCTCACATAAACAAAAAATTGGCAGTCCCTGTTTTTATTTATAACCATTGAAGAGCCATCTTTAATTTATGCACGGAATGTCAGAAGAATACAAAGATTACACCAATTCTAGGAAATTCTGCAGATTTTCTCTGACATATATGTTAGGTATTGCAAAACTGAACGTAAACAGCCCTGGCTTTTATCTTGTCTCTGGTTTCCCAAGAACAAATATTTTTGATTTGTTAGACATGTATTACCTATGTAGATTTTTGGTACTGATTTCAATCACGTCTGGAAATAAATCCTTCATTTATTGTATATATGCACCAAAGCCCTAATAAAGGTTAAGTAGGTTGGAACTTATTATGGAGGCAAAACCATCCATCCAATTTTTCTAATCTCCAGCTGTCCTGAATGCTGGATCTGTTTAAATACTAAGATCATTTATTTCTCTGTACCTTGTTAAAATGATAAAGTATAGGATGATCATGTGTCCTGTTTTACATAGGACAATCCTTTATTTGAAGAGCTGTTGAGTACAAGTCTGGTTTAAATATGAAGCATAATAAGACTGGGTAGATGAAGCCATGAATGTCACCATCCTTATTTGCTATCTGGATTGAACAGGCACACAAGTCACAGCCTCTCCCACTATGGTGCAATATACTGCATTTCTATTGTAATATTATGTCCATTTTTATTTTTTTCTTGGGAAAATGTAGGTCACCTCATTAATTACAGGATTTCTCAGGATGGAATCCAAACTTAATGTGCTATTCTTTCCAAACCATTTCTTGCTAGCTTTTAGTGACAGAAATCAGTCAGACAGAAATTAGCAGGTGAAGTTTCCTGGGGTATAAAAATGATTGCAGTAGAACTGTCACTGATTAAATGTCTGGATTCCACAGTTTGACACAAGGAATTGTGCCAAAAGGAAGGAAGGAAGGAAGGAAGGAAAGAAGTAAGTAAGTAAATTTGAATTTGAAAAGGATTTTAAAAGGAAGATGTTTAGTATAGTCACTACAACTAATTCTTCAGAGTAGACTGATCTGAAAGAAGGACCAAAAATAATCCCATCTGTTAGTAATAGTAATCTTACATTGCGAAAATAGAAAACCTCTGAAAAAAGAGTTATGACAGTATTAAAACTTTAAAGCCTTTAAAAGCAATAGTTTTGTTTTCATTGAATCAACATGGTTTTTTCCCTAGTTTCTTTTAAGCATTTTCTAGTTTAGAAAACTAAGAATCTGCATATTTTTACAATGCTGCAAAGCCTTAATGGCCAGCGGAGACTATGAAGCTGTATGTTATACTGTGAGTCATTTTGTCTGGCTACTGTTTTAATCAAGATTTGATAACATGTTCCATATGATAAGAAAAACATAAATGATTTTAGATGGCAAGAAACTGAAACAGTCCAAACTGTAATGTTACTTTTCTTTTGAATTTTAGTCATGATCCAAGATGATAACAATGTATTATGGAAGTTTCTGAATATCCTTAATAAATATGGTTTGCCTTGGCAGAATCTGAACATCCCAGCTTTAATTTCAGAAAAGAAATCACAAATTAAAATCGGGGAAAAGGAACAAAGATCCTACATGAGTTTCTTGTCCCTACTTATTATGTGCTTTCCAGTTTTACCCTGGCCTTGATGTCTTGCTCTTTAATTTTTGTTAGCTGCATCAATACATATTACATCCTCCCAAATTTGGCAATTTGACTACAAAATTTGGGCTTTTCTAGCTGCAGAGCCTAAAATGTTTAAAAATTACCAATGGTTTATGGATGAATAGATGAGAGAACTTGTATTCAGTCTTACATTGGGTAAGGCTAAATACAGGTAGTCCTCAATTTATGACTACAATTAAGCTCAACATTTCTGTTGTTAAGTGAGACATTTAAGTGAGTTGTGTCCCATTTTATGACTTTTCTTGCCACAGTTGTTAAATGAATCACTGCAGTTGATACTTTAGTATCCTGGTTGTTAAGTGAATTGGCTTCCCCATTGACTTTGCTTATCAGAAGGTGCAAAAGGTGATCACAAGACCTTAGGACACAGCAATGGTCTTAAATATGAAATATGGCCAATCATCTGAATTTTGATCACATGATCATGGGGATGCTGCAAAGGTCATAACTGAAAAATGAAATTTTTCAGTGCCATTGTAGTTTTGAGTGGTCATTAAACAAACTGTTGTAAATCGAGGAGTACTTGTAAATGAATTTCAGACTGAACCTGGATTATAAAAGTTTCCAAGCTTTTTAAATGATATAAAACAAGCAAGATGTTGACTTTAAACAGGTCAGATTTGTTTGTAAAGTATAGAAGCCTTTGAATCATCTCCAGTCATAATATTATTCTAGAATCTACATGGAAATGATGATGATGGAGGTGGCGGCATGGAATTGTTGCTGCTTAGAATTTAATAGCAGCGAGTGGGGCTGATAAAAACTGGAGGAAACCATCACCTTGCACTTTTTCCCCTGTTAAAAATGGACATTCCATGATCTTCATGTTCAGGTTCCTGCAGGTTCCCCTCACTGGGGAAAAATGTGGGAAAGAGAATTTTAAGTTGGAAATAATAAAACAGGGTTAAACTTACAACCTCATTCCCATGTGCTTCATACCTCCTTCATATTTAGTTGTGAACAATTAAATCCCCCCCAGTCCCCTCCACCAATCAGATCTGCCTTCTCGCTGCAGTCTTTTCATGCTTTGCAGAAATGTTTGTTGTTTGTTGCTGATATTGTTCTTGTTCTTCCTTTGCCAGAGATCCCCCAATGTGCTGGCTGCAACCAGCACATCTTGGATAAGTTCATCCTGAAAGTCCTTGATCGACACTGGCACGGCTCCTGCCTCAAGTGTGCAGATTGCCAGATGCAGCTGGCAGAACGTTGCTTTTCCAGATCTGGAAGTGTCTATTGCAAGGAAGACTTCTTCAAGTAGGTACAGAAAAGCTATCCAAGATGCCTTGGAAGGCTTGCAGGACTACTGTCTGGCCACGGGCAATGGCCTGAAATGCCCTTGTTTTGGGGAGGTGGCAAGGGGGTAATTGAGGAATGCTATAGTGGGGTTGTTAAAAAGGGGAGCTAAAAAGATGCTAATTTAAATGTCAGTGCAGTCCTAAAATGGCATTGCCTCTGGCAGACTATGCTGATGACTGAGATCAGACTTACAAGATCTTTTGAAAATACTATTGCTATGAGGTTTTTTAAAAAAAATTATTCATAATCTCTTATCCTGATGCTATGATAACTTCTATATGTAATGCTATTTTGGAAGGGTATTCTTAATACAATATAAGAATATGACTTCAGCCAAGAATACCTATTCCTGTCTTATATTGGGAAGGTGGGGGAATGTATTTGATTTGGATTCTCTAGTCAACATTTTCTTGGTGTTGGTTATTCAGGCTGTAATTCCATGTGCCTTTCAATTCCATTGAATTCTGTTGCTTTTTTCTGTACTGGCCCATATAGGATTGCCTTATCAAGGTCCCACAATCCTATTCCTTTAAAATAGAGTCCCTTACGATGCTTGGACCATCTGCTTGGTCTTCTGGTGCTAATTCCTAACTAAGCCTAGAGCTGGGGAGGGGAGGAGGCAGGCAGGGGAGAGGCCAGGAATAATGTTTGTTCATAAGTCACAAGCCCTGCAGTGGAAGGGAGAGAGAGCAGAGAGAGAGAGAGAGCAGAAAACTTAGGGCAAACATCCCACTCGAAGAAAGCTTAATCCAAGACATCCTCCAGCATTTACCAATCCCTTTTGCGTTGAAAATGAATTCTTTTGAATTTAATAATTTGTTAATCAAACCCTGATTTACCTTGTGCAGCTGCTTTGCCCCCAGGGGAAAATCTAGGCATGAGATGAGTTGGCTGGAAGAAGGGCATGGCCTCTGAGATCAGTGCCAAGGAACTCAGTGGCCTTGATAGTTTGGCAGGCAGCCAGGTCAGGCCTAGGACTGGCAGAAAAGAAAACGGTAGGTAATGTATGTCCACTCTGGAGTCAATGAGGGGAAGGCCACCTAATCCACTTAGTTATTTTGATGGACAATCCCAGTTATTAACATTTTGGGTCTCGGTATTTAATATTTATTTGAATGTAAATTAACAGAAAATAAATACTAGTTCACTAATTATTCCATCTGTAAAGTAAATAAACATTTCTAGCCTGCCACTAGTAAATAACTAGTTTCTTCAGAATCAATTGTTTACAAAGGTAGGCTAGAAATATTTGATTATTTTACAGAACTGCAGAAAAAAAATAATGTGTGGGCTTAGGTTTTGTTTTGTGTTAGTGGCGCATTGCTATCAATCTGTCATAATCCAGATTATTTATCTGCATAATTTATATCCTGCCCAAGTCTACAAACCTTGAGCAGCTCACATAAAAACATCGTAAATATCATAAAACAATCAATTTAAAACAACAGGGATAATTAAAGTAGCACAACACATCTAACAAAACAGCCTCCTGAATTCTAAAAGCGCCAGAACCATATACAAGGTTTTATAGCTCAAAACCAACATTGAGACATGGAAGCATCCTGGAAAAGCTGTTGATCCTTTATCCCTCTGTGCTGAAAGCTCAGTTGGAGAACCATGCCTTAGAAAGACCCAGAATTGCATACTTACATGAACATAAATCTTGCGAAGTTGTATATATATTTGCATTTATCAGATATTCTTGCATCTGCTAATCTTGGGGAGGTCCAATAGCTATATAGAAATCTTATTTTTCAGCATCGAAATGCACCTGTAGCCAGAGTTTTCTTAAAACCTTTTTCTCTCTGTGATCACTCCCAGTCACTAAAGAGAAACACTTGCTTTTAAAAAACTGACAGTGAAAATGTTCAGGAAGCTATCCTTGCTATGCACCAAAGCAAAGCCTAGAGGCTTTTGCTGCATATTATTATTATTATTATTATTATTATTATTATTATTATTATTATTATTATTATTATTATTATTAATTAAATTTATATACCGCCCAACTCCCAAAGGATTCAGGGCGGTGAACGGCCAAAAGATAAAATACACATAGTACAAATGTTAAAAAACCATTTAAAAATACATTAAATATTTTGGCCCAAAACAGATTTAAAACACCCCAATTTATAAAACAAATTTAAAAGCAATTAAAAGGGAGGTTAGGCCAGACCAGCCTGCTGGAATAAGAATGTTTTGAGGGCACGGTGGAAAGTGCGCAAATCCGGGATCCTCCGTATCTCCGTGGGGAGCTCGTTCCAGATGGCAGGTGCCCCCACAGAGAAGGCTCTCCCCCTGGGGGCCGCCAGTCGACATTGTTTGACCGACAGCACCCTGAGAAGACCCTCTCTATGGGAGCATACTGGTCGGTGAGAGGCTACTGGTGGCAGAAGGCGGTCTCGTAGGTACCCCGGTACTACGCCATGGAGCGTTCTAAAGGTGGTAACCTTGAAGCGCACCCGGAAGACCACCGGGAGCCAGTGCAGCTTGCGCAGGAGGGGAGTCACATGGGAGCGCCACGTCGCTCCCATAACCACCTGTGTGGCTGCATATGGGTGATGATTTACAGTACCCCTCTCTCTGGAAGTCTACCACTTGTCCAATTTGCTCCAGGTATGAATCTAGAAAGAGAAATGCTCTTGTAAAGTAGATTCCCAAGTACACGAAACATACATATTGCCGGCCAGATGATTTCTATCTGTAGGATAGAACCAGCCCAGCTCAGTATACAGGTGAAAGGAAAGTGTAACCCAGGAAATGATGCCCCCTCCTCTCTTTTCCATTATTTGGCTGTATTGCTTTATATCAAAAGCATCTGCCTGACAACCTTCCCTCCCTCCCTTGCCATTAGCAAGGGAAGAACATGTGACATGTGGTTGCATGTATGCAGGGGATTAGAGGGGGGGGGGAGAGAGAGAGAAATAGTTCTTTGCAGATTTATAGAGTGTCATGATGATGTTGATGATGCTTTCAAGATGCAGCTTTTAGGGTTGTTGAAGGGATGGTTGCAATAAAAAAGAAGGTATTCCTAATTTGACTGATTGGCTTCATTGATATGGTTAAACATGAGGTGGCAGCATCCGGAAATGGGAGACTAAGCATACCAGTTAGGCTAATGTCATTTTGGAGGTCTCTCTTACAACCTTTTTACTACATATGTATCTGCTTATTAACTGCAGGGGATTTTATTAACTGCAGAGGGTCTTGCAACTACCGGTAGCAGCATAAAGGCATGCCATCACCCCCACCATTTCATTCTGCTGGCACTGTGTAGACCAGGTCCAACAATTGGGCAAGGTGTGGGAAAAAGATTGTACATGCAAAATATCTTAATGGAAGTGCCTATTGCAGTCATGGGCATTCAGAAAGCCTGTTGGGCACACTGCAAGCAAGGGGTAGATTGCCCTAGAAGAGAAGAGGAGGAACATGTGGGTATGGGGAGGCAAGTGAGGGATCCCCAGAAGGAAGGTCTAAAACACAAATGAAAAAAGGGAACGGGATGCATGTGCTTTCCCCCTTGCATTTAGGGACCCCGGTGGTAAATAAACAGGATGTACAATTTATGTACTGTTTGACAATGCAGCTGGTCCTGGGTTTGTGAGCTGAATCCCCCCAGAGATTTTCCAAGCAGAAATTCTTGTAGCTCTTGGATTATTTACTCATCAAGCCTGCTGCCAACCCAAAGGGGGAATTCTAACAGTGGACCTCCCTCCCTTTTAGGCCATCTAAGTAAGCCACTCTTACCCTTGCCCCCATTCCATAATGTGCTCATTATGTTCCTCAGCTAAACTATAGCACTTGCTGTAAATCTTCAGGCCATTTTTTTTCTCTTCCTAGGTAAATTTCTAAACTGTTTGTCAGCTTCTAACATATAAACTCCCTGAGTTTTGCATCACATGGACACATACGTTTCTGTCTCTTCCCTTAATAGATTCCCATTGCAGTATTCTTTTTATTTCTCCTATTTCATCCATGCTTGGTCTCACTCTGGTCAAACTCTTGCTTGCATCAATCAGTATCTCTAGGTTTGGGTGGACCCACAACTCCATGTTTTTTTATTTCTTTTTCAAATGTTTAAGTTTTATTTCTCCTTGTCAGTTCTATGGATCACCTCCCCTTTTGAATGTAAGGCCCCAATTCATATATCTTTGTAGGATTTTCTGTGCTCTGGTGAAAAACGACCTTATTTCCACTTGTAATTTCTATATTTATTTCTTCTTGTCTATATATGCATCATTTTCCTCTATCCTGCCTCCCTGGGTACCCAAATTCTTAACATCCAAATTATTTCCTTGCTTTTCATAGCAATCCCTAAAAGTTTTTCCCAATTTTACTACAACTCCTTGGTTAAGTTCACTGTTAATATATACATACTTGGTTACTTACTTACTTATTTATTGACTTCCTAATGACAAAACCCTATTGGCCTTGAGTTCAAAGAAATAATACACATGAATAAAAGAGGCACTCCGCAAATTCACCCACCCCCTTCCTTAAAGGAATCTCAGTTCCACACAATAACTCTCTAAATCCATGCTTGTTTCTCCTTAAATGGTACCAAAATGGCTGGCCCTGTGTAACATGTGCAGCCTTTATGTCTGTCTGCAGGGGTCTTCCATAAAATGTCTTTACATATGGCTGCAGGTAATACTTTTCTCTGGGAATCTATAGCTTTTCAATCCAGCAGTTAATATCCCACTCATTTTATCAGTTATTTTGGATCTCTCTGGAGAATGGGAATGGAAGTAAAAAAATGGCTGCTTGATTTGCTGAGCATAACTGCATGTTTCCTCTTAGTTAAAACCTCTCTAATGGCATTACATAAGCCAGTTTTAAAGGAAGTAATGGCTCTCGTGTGGGCACCAGTCAGCATAAGCTTTAGAGCCAATTCTGTATTTAATTCAATGGAATAATATTGTTGGACAAATAAGCATTAAATTGTTATGAAAAATGAA